TATTCAAAAGCACTTCATTCAGAGACCCTGCTAATCAAATTCCCTCCGCCAACAGGCGGAAAATATTCGCATAATTATGACTTCAGCGGTTACAGTCTGGCAAATTTTCCATGTGAATGAATTTCGCACAATTACACACGCGTAGGCAGGCAGGGATAGGAAATCGGGTAAAAAAATAAAATGAAATAAAAGGGAAATAATAAGAAATATTGCGACAGGGGGTGTGGGCACATGTCAGCACTCGACGGCGGAGGCAGATCAACTTCATTCACAATTAAGCTAAAAATACAAGCCCCCAGCTGGATGAATAAAATTTATTGTCAAGTGCAGAGTCGCAGCATTTTCAAGATGTGTAACAGTCTCGCACTGTAGCCGAAATAATTGAGCAGCAGGGAAGCACCCGGGAAGGACAGCCGAGACCGCCGGGAGTAGTCTGGTTCAGGTCTAGAGGTGTAACAAAGCGAAAACTCGCTGGGAAAGCCAGCAACTGAGTGGCAGGCAATGGAAATGGAAAATGGGAACGTTGATGGGAGGAGTCGTGCTGTCGCTCACAGAAAAAAAATCCGACAAAAAAAAAATAGCATTGAAATAAAGGGAGGGATGGGCCGGGCAAATCAACAACGCAATCTTAATGAAGGCAATAATTCAAACAAAATGCAAAATTCCCTCAAGAAAGTCAAGTCAAGCCAAGTCAGAGTGGCTGGCTGCGTTGAAAAATTGCCGCCAGTGAGAAGGAATTCCTTGTTGAAATTAAATTTTTACAAAATCAAATAAAATCCAGTGCCAGTCGTCAGTCACTCACCAGCTCGATTCCCTCGGCCCGGCTCGACTCCCTCGGTGTTGTTTCTCTTATTAATTAGTTTGTATATTTTTGGCATACGAAATTGTTAAACATTTTAGCCCGGCTGCAACAGCACACATTAAGTGGCAACATTTGTCAATTTGTTTTGGGTTGTAATTTTCGGTCCACCCGAGGTTTCGGTGGCTCCGGGTCAGCACCGGTCCCTCCGATCCGGAGTCCGGACCCCGGTGTGTTTGTGTGTAGTTAATGGCCGTACATTTGCCTAAATAATGAGCCACCGGTGTATTGCTTTGAATTCGATTTGGCTTGATTAAAAATATATTTCATCGGTCGAGGACCGTTTCTGTATAAGTGGGTCGTCGTTGTGGGTGGATCGTCGTGGGCTGTGAGAGTGAAACAAAAGTCATGGGGCAGCTGAGAAGCTAATCAGGCAAATGTGGCACACTTTCCCGATGAGGTGAATTCATTAGCCCTGGCATGGGGATAGTTGCTTTTCCGGGGAAAGGACAAATGAGTCAAGTCGTCATCCAGATGGCATTGAGTAATGTTGTAATGGCCTTTGGAATAAGGGGAATTACTAAATTTAAATGATAGATATTCGTAGACTATATAAACCTCCACATTTTGGCATCAAATCCAATCTTCCGCCATGTTTACCCAAATCCAAAGCTTCTCATAATTAAAAGTGGAAAAATGAAAACTTGCGCTTATTTCCCTTTTCGGCTGGCAATGCAATTTTCACTTTTTTTCTTGTGTCGCTCCGGTTTTCTCGTTTTGTCAAATAGCCTCAAGGCGGAGCAAACAGGGCAAACTTTCGAAATTTAACGCCGGTCACAATGGGGCGCACCAGGAATTGTTGCCTGCCAGCCGCAGAACGCCGTAGAACAATTATAACAACCGGGCCAGTAGCAGGAGCCGGAGCAGGAGCAGGAACAGAAGCTGACGCTTTTTCGGTCTTATGCAAACAGGAAACGCATAATGAACAAAGTCCGAGTCCAAACGAGTAGCTTACACGCCCGGAGAGCACGCGACTCCGGGACTAACTCGCAGGACTCGCAGGGTGCACAGGTCTCCAGACGCCGGCTCCTGGCTCCCGGCTTCTGGTCTCTCATTCATTCATTCATTTTTGAGCGGTTTCGTGGTTAACAACCGCTTCCTTATCCTTATTATTTTAATGCCTGCGGCAGCGTTCCATCTTACTTACATTTTTCAACTCCAACTCGCTGCTGCCGTGTTGTGGCTTAAATATTTTAACTACTGCACTTTGGCCAACAAAACACTGAAAAAAATGCGTATTGGCAATGAACAGCGAGGCCAGAGCCTAGTAGACAGTTCCTTGGCTTACCTTATATTAAAGATCATGCAATTTTTTGTCCAGTGTACTAGTTGTCTGTCTGGAGCCTTCGTCTTTGTGCCCATAATTGGGGTTAACTGCGTTCAGCAGGTGAGGCAGCTCCTCCGGCTGGCATTGTGTTCCAAAGTGTGCCAAAAGGAAAGTGCTGGAGTCGACCGTGCTGGGGTTTAATTTTCGGTTTTTATTTTCTTCGCATAGCTGGGGGGGCCAGCAATTAACTGCAATTGAAAGTGAAATTGAATTCGCAGTGACTTTGCAAAACAAAGAACACAGAACCGGAAACAAATCAAACGATGCTGCAATAGATGGCGTGCTTTTGACAGAGTGTCAGAGTTGACACGCATGCTGAGGAAATTCAATTAAACATTTTTCAACCATTCTCCTCCGCTTTGGGGCTTTTTCCTCTCAGGTATGGCGCTCTTTCGCCGTCTCATCGTCGATTCAGTTGATAATTATTTTTACGCGCCGAGTTGCAGGGTAAAGTGCATTAAAAATGCAAATGGCAACACTTTGCCACTTTGATGCCAGTGTTGCCCGTGTTGCCAGTGTTGTCACGTTGCCGTTTTATTAATTTATTAAATTAAAAACAACGCAAAAGGAGCGACGAACGCGTGGCCCGGCCAGTCTCCACTCTGGCATGTGTAATTGTAAATTTATGAGCGTGCCACAAATAAAAAGGAGGCACAACCCAGGCCCAGAACCAGAACCAGGCCCTGGCCCAGGACTAAAAAAAACAGGCCAGAAATAAAAGCAACAGCAAGAGTTCAACTGGGGCGCACTGTCAATCGTGTTGCATGAATTATTAATTATTTGCTTTTCGCACAAACACACACACTCACAGACATATTTAAAAGATACAAAAATACACAAAGCGGCGGCAGTGTTGCAATGCGGCACTCGGCTGTCAGCTCTGCCACTTTGACAAGGGAAACACTAATAAAATTATTAACCAAAATGGCAAAAAAGGCATTCAATTTGAAGCGTTGCCGATTGCCAGTTGCCAATAAAAAATAAAAATACTGAAACCGAAATTAGTTTAATCTAATTATCTGTCACGCTTTATTGTCTTAGAACGAATGGATTTTCGAAAATGAAACGAAAAGTCAATGGTTGGGATTTTTTTCACTTTCCATAAAAAAACGGAAGGACTCAGGGTGGAGGAGCGTCCTCCCTTTGGGATAGGTAATATGAGAGTCCAACCCCGGGGTCCTTGCCACGCAGGACTCACCCTCCTCCACGGAGCTGTCTTATTTGTACTGCGTTTTTCCCTCGGGGGACATGGACCATGGCATTTTGGCTTGGTCCTCTCCTGATTCCAGCCTTTGTGAATTATTCAGGCCTCAATCGATGGCGGGCCGAAGCATCTTCGCCCTGCACACTACACTGTATACAGTGACGCCCCCTTTTTACTAGCCCTCAGTGCTGCTGACAGTTTATTTGGCAAATTGCTTGCATGTAATATGAAACTTTTTTCGAGGCTAATTTTAGTTTGCCCAGAGAAACCCCCCTAAAAAAAAATACATTGAAAAGGAAAACGGGGCAAAGATGTCTCTGGGTGTGTGCTAAATCGAAAATCTGAAACACGCGTCTGAACACAGCACTGAATGAGGGGCAGGATAGCACCGGATCAGAAGGCAGGATTTGTCCAATAATACGGCATGACTCAACCGATTTTCACGTAGGATTGAGCAGCGCAGGACTTATCTTCATTGAAATATCTTGGCATGGACCCCAAGCTCTCCAAAATATATTTCAAATGTATAAAATATTCAAGGAAAAGTGAGCTCTCAGTGCACATAACCGCAACCCCTTGTTTCTGGTACAATCTCTGACCATAACTCATGGAAAATTTTAAATTCGAAATCTCATTCTGCGTGAAGGAAGGGCGGGGGGCGGGATAAACGTAGCAACAGCACAGTTATTGTTGCGTTATAAATCTAATTAGAATATGTGTGCGCCCGGTTCTGGTCCCCGATCCCGGCCCGTATCCGAATATGCACGTAGACCAAACCAATTCCAGCAACCCCCTTTCCAGAGTCGCCGCCACTGGGCTCATTTCATATGCTCACCGCATCTGGCCGCATCTGAAAATTGCCAATGGCGCCGCTGCGTCTGGGGCAATAAATTTGATTTGTTTCAAATTACAGAGGAAAGAAAAAAAAAAAAAAAATTGTAAACTTTTTGGAGTATTTTTTGGGCTGAGCCGGGCGAATCGAATTGAATCCGTGGCACGGGAGACTCGTCTCTCGTCGAGTTGCGGTTGCTCTTTGTGGGCAATTTTCATAATTTACATAAGCAAATCAAATTGCGAGCGTAATTCGAAGACAAAGGACTGCAGTCAGAAAAGAAAGGGAGTCTGAGCCGGGCTTAGAACGAAAAACTGTGTTGAGTGGATGCCGCAGATTCACTCCACTCCTGCCATTCTTGTTCTAGGCTGTTTGTCTCGAGAAATGGTGTCAGCCTTGCAGCTCTTTTGTTGCCCACCAATGCGTCAAAGAAATTTGGCTCAAGTGGCAGGAGAGGAGAGCTAAAAGGATTGCCACAAAAAGTACACAAAAAATAAGAGTTCTGCGAAGTGTGAATCCTTTTGAAGTGAAAGTGTTCGATATGTGTGCCACTCTAGTGAGCAACACTACAACACAATCGAATGTTATTGGGGTTACCACGCGGGGCTCCAAAATGGGATCTAAGCTTAAGATCTGAAACTCTTTCCTTGGGATATTTTTTTACGATTTTTTGTATGTCTTTTAAACATAGTATAGCCATTATTTGTTTGAATATTAAATATTAATGGCGTCTTAAGTGCCACAACCCTGTTGACCAACACTGCTGAGGCAACCCACGAGCTTACAGAACTTCAAAATGACAGGTGTCATTTTTTTTTTACGTATGTGTGTGTCGTGATTAATCCTTGAGGAAAATTGTGTTAAATTTCTGTACAAATTGTATGAAAAGTCAGAGTTATTCAGCGTATACCTTTCGTAAGACAACAAAAGACAACAGACAACCGGCGGAGGGAGACCACAGGATGAAGGAAGCACTCTAGGGATCGAGGACCACACCAGTTGAAAACTTTTCTGATAAATCGATTTCAAGATTTCAACGAGATCCGAACTCCGTCCGAATAGAGCTCCATATCGCATCTAGAGCACCAGTTTCGGACTCCCAATCCAGGCGTTCAGTTTGCTGTCAACTCTTTGCTTTATTGGAGTGGCAGACAGAAGAACCGGAACACACAACATATTCTTTAGAATCTGCGCGTACCTACGCACACATATATATGTAGATATATGTTGTTTGGATCGTGAGACCAGGCCGCGCGCGCATCGGTAGCAATGTCCACTGCTCTGGCAGCAGCAGCCGCAGCAGCAGAAGCTACGACGGCAACGGCAACGGCAATGGCAGCGGCATCCTCAACCGCAACTAGCAACAGTAACACGACTAACCACACACCGACGCCGGCAACAAATAGCACTAGCACCACTACCACCACCACTAGTATCCCCACAAAATCCACATCGACAGGAATAGGAGTTCGTCAGGAAGGAGAAACAGGAACAGAAACCCAAGCAAAGACTAACACGGAGAAGGAGCAGTATGAGATTCAGTCGAAGATGATATTCCCGTCACCGACCATGGAAAAGCCAGATCCAGAAAAGGAACTCCAACCCAGTCCAGATGGAATGGAAATCAACTTGGTGGGGTCACAGCAGCAACAGCAGCAGGATCAGGTGCGAATGCGAACCCGAAACCGGGACCTGGATCAGAGTACCCCGAAGCCGCGTAGGCAGCGCCGAACCACGGTGGTGCGTACCTTCCCCCGCCCACCAGGTGGCTACAAGTACTCCATGAAGTTTCTCTACGATATTGGTGAAGGCCTGACCGGAGAAAAACTAGACATACCGACGCCCTCTTCGATCACGCCCAGAACTGTACGTACCACACCGCCAACCCTTACCACCCACATGCCGCTTCTGTCCTCCGCCGGGATTTCTGTCTCACCGCGACCCAATGGTAGCTCGCCGGGAAGCCGCTATGCAGGAGGAGCCGCTGCAAGTGGCGCGGCGGGAGCGACTACTAGCTCGGCGGGATCAGCATCACCTGGTGCGGTATCGGCCGCACAGTTCATATACCAGGGCTACCTGCCCAGCGGACCACAGCGCCGCCTCTGGCACACCGAGAACGCCGTCTGGCAGTTCGATCGTAACTACCCCTACAACCAGGGCTACTCCTCGCAGTACGGCATACCCATTATGCCGTTAGGATTCGAGCACACCTACGCTGGCCAGAGAATCATCTATCCAGGTTACTACAACCAGGCCACGGGAGGACTGCACACTGCCCAGGTCCCGGGAATGCCCAGATCAAGTAGACTGCCCCAGTCGCCACATCAGAACTCTCCAGCACCGTCGCCGTCCACGACTACAGTGGCCGGGGAAGCAACAGAAAAATCTACCAGTCCTACTACGGGAAATAGCCCCCACATAGCCACCGCCTCACCCACGACCAGCCCGGCAAGCCCCGCAACCACCTGGCGGTATGCAAGGCCTAATTCACATCGAGATCGTCTAGCGAGTGGACGTGGCGGCGGAGCAGTAAGTGGAGTCCCAGTATCAGCATCCACGGCGTTCCACCGGGAGTCTAAGACCTTCTACAACAGTACCAACGGAGGAATGGGCGGGGGTCCCCGTTACAAGCCGCCCTTCGACCAACGAACCGTGGGTGGCAACCGGACCTATGTGGCGGCCGGGACATCGGCAGGAGCGTCCGGGTCAGCGGCAGGATCGTCCGGGACAGCGGCAGGAGCGTCCGGGACAGCGGCAGGAGCGTCCGGGACAGCGACAGGAGCGGCGAGCACAGGCACTAACACTGTTGCAAGCGCTACTGCTGGTGGAGCCACCACCAGCGATCCGCCGGCTACGAACCAGAACCGAAACTTCCAGGGATCGACCAACACATACCAAAGGCCGCGGCCCATTAACAAGCGTAACGGGAAGAATCCCTTCGGCAAGGAGAAGACCTCCAATTCGTCGGGGTCGCTGTCTGCTTCCTCCTCCAAGTCGCAGTTGGGCCGACCGAGCTCGACTACCTCCATGTCGCCCAACAAGCATCCTCAGAGGAACTACCGGAACAGGATGCGCTATAATGCAATGGAGCCGACGGAGAGGAAGTCCGGGACGGTGAGTGTGACAGTTCCAGTTGGAACCTATCAGCCGCCGCAGCTGCAGCCGCAGCCACCGCTGCAGAACCAGCAGCCACCGTCGCAGCAGCAGCCGCAATCGGCCGGGAGAAGGCCTAAATATCATAGTACTTATCATGGACATGCAATGGACTACAACAAGGCATCGGCCCACAGACAGCCGTCGCGCTACTTCCAATCCAGGCAGGTGGACGGGCACTATGTCTATCAGCCAGGGCACTATATGGTGTATGCTCCGGGAATGGGAGGCGTACCAGGAGCAGTGGCAGTCACCGGCGGCGGAAGCGGAGCGAGTGGCAGTGGACAAGGAGTGGGTGCAGCAGGAGGAGCAACCGCAGGAAGCGCGGGAGCTGGAGGACAAGGAGGAGGAGGAGCCGCTACGGCCACGGCCAGCAGCACCACCTCGGAGGGCGAGCAGCCGCTGGAAACGGACTTCGATCAGCGCCACGAGTATGCTGACTTGGGTCTGGATCCAGCCCATGGCGGCTTCTCCTCCGACCTGGAGCCGCTCGGCTACAGCAACAACAGCCACACCACTAGCAGCAGCCACGTCAACACGCACCACCACCACCACTCCCACTCCCACTATCACCACTCGTACCACCACAAGCAGATCATCGAGTTAGACACCCACGCCAGCTCCGACGCGGAGGAGCCGGAAGACGACCAGTCATGCATGAGCCTGGCTTCCAGCCTAGACAGCGACGGCTCCGACAGCGAGCTGAGCGATGCCTCCGTCGAGTCGGTGGTGCGGAATGTCATGGCCAGTTGCTTGGCCGAGGCCACAGGCACCCAAGTCCCGGAGCTGAGTGGTCCAAATCTGGTGCCCTACGGCGACATGCACTACCTAAGAGAGCTCGAGCGCAAGTCACAGCACACGAACGGCTACAGGTCCCACCACCACCACAAGCAGTCGCACCTCGCTGCCGGCATGCACCACCACATGGGACATGGAATGATGGTCAGTCCCCGAGGCATGGGAGCCTGCTGTGGAGACATGGAAGACTTCGGAGGCTACAAGCTCGAGCCGGATGGCCTGGACGGCCTAGACAGTGGCTCGAAGGGCCAGGTCAAGGGCGGATACAGCGAGGAGGCGGACTCCATATCGGTGGCCTCGAATTTGTCCTGCACCCCGTCAGCGTGTTCAAGCAAGAGTACAGTGGCTTCAATGGGCCATAAGGCCATAATGGTAGGTGCTTCCTTTCCAATAGACAATCTTAGAAATCGTCCAAACCCCCCGCAGGACGACTTCCAGGAGGACGAACTGCCTCTGGTCATACATAACCGCTACTGGAGTGAGTTCTTCGGGTACACGCCCGCCGATCGCTTCTTGCTTCGGTCCAAGCAGGTGGAGATGAGGCGTCCGCCCCGCTCAGTGCCCAGTCGCAACAAATGGGAGCCGCTGTCCTTGTCGATCTGGAAAAAGTTCCTGGACGCCCAGCAAACGCAACACTTGTACAAGATCAAGATGCGCCTGTGGCGCTTCATCTACTCGGTGACAATGGTAAGTCTGGGGGCGAAATTTTTAATGGGAAGATAGCTGACAGACCTCCCAATTCCAGTCCGCCTACCCAAAATATGGCCTCTATTTGGTCGGCTCCTCGATATCCAACTTTGGGTCCAAGTGCTCCGACATGGACATTTGCATGCTCGCCTGCACGAACCCCAACCTAGATCCCCGCATGGAGGCCGTCTACCACTTGCAGCTAATGAGGGGGCTTCTCTACCGCACCAACGTGTTCCAGGACTTCAATCTTATCGAGGCACGAGTGCCCATACTGCGTTTCACCGATCGCCAGCACAAGGTCGAGGTGGACATCAATTTCAATAACTCCGTGGGGATCAGGAACACCCATCTCCTGTACTGCTATTCCCAGCTGGAGTGGCGTGTCCGTCCGATGGCACTGACGGTGAAGCAGTGGGCCCAGTACCACAACATCAACAATGCCAAGAACATGACCATATCCTCCTACTCCCTGTCGCTGATGGTGATCCATTTCCTCCAGTCGGGCGTCAATCCTCCGGTGTTGCCCTGCCTACACAAGATGTACCCGGACAAGTTCACACTTCTGCAACCCTGCGACTTCGGCTACGTGGACATGAACGAGGTGATGGGCCCGTACCAGTCGGAGAACACCCAGAGCCTGGGGGAACTGATGCTCAGCTTCCTGCACTACTACAGCATCTTCGAGTACGGGAAATATGCCATTTCGATACGGGTGGGCGGTGTGTTGCCCGTAGAAGTGTGCCGGGCGTCGAACGCACCCAAAAATGACATCCACCAGTGGAACGAGCTGTGCATCGAAGAGCCATTCGACCAGACAAACACGGCCCGGTCAGTGTACGACAGCGAGACCTTTGAGCGGATCAGGGCCATTTTCCACGCCAGCTACCGCAGACTGGAGTCCACCAGAAACCTAAGCTCCATATTTGAGGGCTATGACGGACCCACAATCCTGATGCAGCCCCCCACGCTCGAGTCGGTGGAGGGTGACTTCTTCGAGAACCATCTGCAGTCCCTCCACAACCGGGGATCCGTGAGGTCGCTGGGGCACTCGAAACTGATGGTGGACAAGGCCACAACGGCTGTGTGGAGCGACATCAACGGAAAACTGGAGCAGAACGAGGTGCCTCTAGATCATCTGAACGTCCCTGGCCAGCAGAAAACGAACCTCCAAAAGATGCAAGCCAACTCCGATGACTCGGTGGCCACCACAGCCACCGAGCCACCACTTGCTTAGAAGCCACTCACAGCATCTCTCTCTCAACACTACATAACCACCTAACCTTACAATCACACCACTCAAACAGCATACTCTCCTCGGAAAAAAACACAAATATCGATCTGAGATCATACATACTCAATATCGATATCAATTTTTTTTATACAGCAACCAGAATCTCCACCCATCAGGACGTAAAAAAAATTGAAAGGTTGTGAAAGAAAAAAGTTATTGTAGAAGTTGCCGGGCGCGGATTTACACCGATTTGAAAATTTGACGTTGGATAATTATGTGATAATGATGATAGGTAGACTTAATGGTAGATTCGACTCGCCTCGAAGGGAACTGTCAATGTGAAATGACCAAAATAAAAAAAGCCAAGCAACATCCGATCCATCGCCAAGCAAAGTCGGTCGCAAAAAAACCACTAAAACAGTGAAAAGCAATTCAATTCATAAACATAGAAATAGCTTAAAGGGTTTTGCGCAACCAAAAAACGATCAAAGATCAACGATAAACGAAAACAATTTTTCACAAGCTTCAAAAGCAAGAATATTGCTAACAAATGGGCCTGGAAAAAAACTTAAAAATTTCACTAGAAAACCCCACCAAAAAATTAAATTCAAAAATGTAAAAAAAAAGGGTTAAAAAGTCCATAGAAATGTAAAAAAAAATAATAGATAGCAAGCTAGAAAAACGCCGAGTTGAGGTAGAGTAGCTAGAGTAGCTAAAAGTAGAGTAGAGAATAGCAAGGAGTAGGAGTGCATTTTTTGTCGAGGCAGGGAACTCAGTTTTATAATTTAGAACTTTTACACTTTTGTATGAGGCCACCTTTCGTACACTCCAAAATCGACACAATGAAACGAAAGCCACAAAAAATCACAAACACCCAGAAACCCCAAAAGAAAAACAATTAAAACATCTCAAGAAAATGTCTGTAACAAAAAAAAGACAAAACATTTTTGTAACAAAACAGTGTAAAATGTAAAAACCGCGCTAAGCATCTATACAAAAAACGCTCAAGAGTTGATGAGAGTTTGGCTACCGAGCTCCAACAGACTTTAACAAATGTGATGATAGCGCCAAAAAAAAAAAATAAAAAAAAAATATAATAATAGGTGGGAGATATTATTTTAAGAATATGTTGGGAAAAGAACTCTACTACGTTTTAATGACCTATATTAATTCATGTATTACTAGAATACGTCAGCAATCAGAACTCACTAAGATTCACCCTCAAATATGCATATACTGTAGCAGAACGAAACCATTCATCATGTAACCATTAAATCCCCGAATCAATGACTTCATTTCGACACTCGGTTCACGGACTCTCTGGGGGTGTAGACTCAAGAGCCAGGACTATATGGGAATGAAATCGTGTAGGATGCTCAATTTGATATTCTGCTCTGATTAATTCTTAGTGGTTGGCCGTCATCATCGAATATCACCCTGGGGACTAGCCAGTCTCGGCCTCGCAAATTCTCGCACATGTTTCAGTTTGGCAATTATCTAAGGAAATCAAATCAAATCATCGATGCAGCTGTTACGCAACAAGAGGGGGTGGCAGTGGCCAACTGGTCGACAATGCTGAATACTGAACAGCACCACTTGGCAGGAGGGGGGCGTGGCAGCACATTTCCAGTTGCCCGAAACTCTATTGCCATCATCTGCATCTGCCGGAGCTATGGATTGGTATCGATGGCAACCAAAAATGACAGTGCAGCAGATTATTTCGTCAATTGCAATGCACGATTTCAGGGAAGGAAGAAGGGCTCTTCGACAAGGTAGATAAATTAGATTAAAAGGATATCCTTTTTTTAAAGAATATTCCATAACATCCTGCTATCTGTTTTAAATATCAAATTCATTTCATAATAAAATGATTGTTTCAGCTATAAATTAGCCAACTTTGCAGCCCTAGTCGAGTGATTCTGTGAGGGTGTGCCATGCAGTCCTGTGATGAGTAATTGATATAATGGTTCCGTTCCCAATTGCGATTTGCTGCCCGTCCGGCGGCTGTCGTCGCCCATCCAACCTAATGGCGAAAATTGTCAACGGGACCCGGATTGGGATTTCAAAATTGGGTGGCTGGATGAGCGATGAGCTGTAATGCAATATCGTGTGCGACTATAGCCGTCATTATCATTAACGCGGACTGAACAATTGTCACACTAATTTGTGCATATGTGCAAAAATGTTTGGCAATTAAACGGTGCACCGCGAAGTCCCTCAACCATTTTTCATCATTCCCCCAAAGTAATTAATGTCTTTTGTTAATGATAATGCATTTGCATTTTCATTTTCATTTGCCGGAGGAATCGGATTCGGATACGGGATTGGAATCGGAATCTGAAGCGGAATCCGAATTATATCCAAATTCAAAGCCAAGATAATTTGCACAACAAAGGGCGGATGGAACTTCATTAAAATTTCGCACAAAAATAGAGAGCAGCAGCTGCTGCATTAAAATTCCTGCCTGGGATTTGCTCTTTGGTCTCGAATAATTATTCATTGTCGTTGTAATTGGCGTGCCAGGCGCTAAATGGAATCATAAAGGCGAAGATGGGGGTGGCTTAGGAACAACGGCCAAGGCAGGAGGCAGATGGAGAGGGAGTTTTCCCTGACAATTTTCCTCTTTTTCATTTTTCCTCCAACAGCCAAATTGAAGTTGCTCGATTACTTGGACACTTTTTTGCCGTCCACATGTCGAGGGTTTTTTTGTTCTAGGGAAAGACCGATTACTCCCCATGGATGTCGGAATTGGGATTGGGTTCTGGTCTCGGTTTCGGTCTTGGCTTTTATATTGTTTGGGACACGTACGAGAATTTTCATTCAATGTCGTTTCAATTTTTCTGCCTTCCTCTTTTTTATGGACGCATAGAGACAACAAAAAGGGTTCGAGATGCAGCCTGGGATTGCGTTTCGATCCTTTGCCAGAATCCTTTTTCCCTTTGTTGCCTCGTTGGCCACTGAGCAACAAATTACCTGTGGCAGGTAGAGGGAAAGCTGAAAAAACTAAAAATAGAAGACCAAAGAAGTCACCGACTAAAGGTCTAGCTTAAATCTAAATTTCAAAATACTCTTATGCAATTTTGTTTTCAAATAAAAAACTTTACTAATTTCCTCATATTTGTTCTTTTAATTGCAGGTAAGCTCATTACACCAAACCTTTCTAACAAACCACAAAAGCAACAGCCACTGCAGCAGCAGCAACAATAATAAATAATGTTAGCGTAAGTGCTTGTCTACAATTTTAATTAGTTTTAAATGCAATTTAATGCATTTGTTTTTTGTGGGCCCTCGTTTTTTGTTTGTGTTGTTTCGGGTTGCCTAATGCCAAAGCACTTAGCATAATTTAGAGACAGAGCGACAGAGGAAGGCTGCTGCACTGAATTTAAATTCCGAAAACAATAAATCATTTCAACTTTGTGATAAATGCCGTGCATAATTCCAGTTCGGTGGGGGCGTGTACTGCACATCGCATGTGCATTCCCGCACAATTAGAAACGCATTAAATATTTAAAGTCCTTTCCCAGGACACTGTTGGCAGTGCGTGTCTGCGTACGGCGTACACCCGATGCTATGCAGAGTATCCGGGCATAGCTCATTTAGTTGGCAAATGTATACATTTTGGCTTTTACGATCCGCTATAAAAAAGTTGTGACACATGACATTTCCATGTTGGCCTTTCTCTAGAATTTATTTCACTATTTTATGGCTCATTCGGAGTTTGTTATCCAGGGTGGCCGACCCCTCCCGTTTAAAACAACTCAATTTCTGTAATAGTCACGCCCCAGCATAGTTGAAGTCTCCCCGAAAAGCGGAAATGGTGGAAAAATCAATCAAAAGAAAAACTGTAAGGCGTGTCTCCCCAGCCGCAGCTGCCACGCCCTCCTCCGCCAATCAGGCTCATTTATTATGCATTTTTCATATGACATGCTTGCACTTTTTCCCTGCTTTTGTTTTCGGCGAGTCCTGGGCCCAAAAATTTAAATTCAACCGCAGAAAAAGCTGCAGGTTCTGTCACACAGGCTGGGAAAAATAAACTTTGGCTGGAGGGGGAAAAAACACGCATGCCAAAATTGGCGCGGTGAGTGACAACAAAATCGATCGATCGATGGCTCGAAAAAATCCACACGTACACACAAATTACCCGCATTTTTTGTTTATAACAAAAATTGAAATTCATGCAGACCTGAAGCCATGCAGCCATGCATCCACGCAGCCCTTCATCATCCGTGTCCATATCCATATCGCCCCGAATATATCCCTGTCGTATCGCTGTCATCGAAGCATGGCGCCCTAACCCTCCTCTATTGGGATAGGGATTTCTGCGTACATCTCAGGGGGAAATAAAGTAACAATGTAGCTTATAAAAAATATTTTAAAATAATCTCGGGAGTTACTAAGAGTTGCCGTGATCTTTAATATTAAATGATTTAAATGTAATTCCTGTAATATCCAGAGAACTAATAATTTAACCGCTGCTGTATTAACAAAAATTGCTTCTTTTTATTTTTATTTGGCAATTCGGAGGAGTTATAGAAAGAGTTCGGAGGGGTCGCTTGTTTACCAGGCCCCCAAGGGTTGCCACATGCACATTTGCATATCGTTTCAAGTGCGACGGCTGAAAAGGGGCGGGCAGCGAGTAGCGTGTGGCAGGCTGGGGTTGAGTAGGCGTGGCACTGCTTATCGCCACAACACTTGCCGCGAACGGGGGCAAGTATTTCCGTTGCCTGGGCACGCTTGTTAGTCACAAAGCAGAAGGACGCCTCGAAGTAAAGTGCTGGCGAGAAGTACGGATGGGGTTTTCGGGGGAGTTCAAGTCGAAGTTCCTGGCTGTCGCTTAACGATTTCGTGTCATTTTTTGCATTTCCTCCTCGTGCTTGGCTTTCAGTTTTATTTTCTTCTGCTGAAGCCGAGCTCCCGATTTTCCCCCTGCGGTTTTCCGTTTCGAGTGCGCTGCGGCCAGTCTTATCGCGTGCTACCTGTGTGGCACCTTCAGACAGCACCAGCGACTCCCAGCCGGGAGAGAGTGATAAAAATTAAAGCAAAGGCAAAAAAATTGCAAAGAAATAAAAAATTTCCATCAACTGTTGAGACCAGGAGCTACCCACTATATGTTCAAAAGTTAGAGGCTTATCGCCAAGGATCCAGAAGGTGCAGCATACCCTTCCCCGATTCGCCAACAAGGGGTATAGGAAAAACAAGACGGCTTCGAGGAAATTCATACTCTGGAATAAATCACAAAGTAGGAGAAGCAGCCGTAGAAACTCGTAAATTTCTCCGAGCTTTCTCCATCGTGTACGTGTTAAAAACTTCTCACGTGTCAGTCGTTAGGAGCCCGCCAAGTTAAGTGAAGTAAAGTCACAGGACACCCCGGACTCGGGCGGATGTTCCTCGGTCTGTTCTATCTGCATTGCAGCAGCATTTGCATGATTATGAATTTTTGTTGTAGTT